CACACACACACACACATATATATATATATATATATATATATATATATATATATATATATAAGATAAAAATAAATTTTAATATATTTTAATTACAACTTAGGCTCATGTTGCTATATGGACTTTGGTCTACGGTATAAGTATTAATGTAAGATGTGGTGACATTTCATACTAATCATACGTAAGTTGGTAACAATAATTAGGTGTCAACCCAATAGGGTAGCTCAAGTGGCAAATGAGCTCTCTTTGTGGGGGAGAATTCCAGGATAACCCGGGTTCAATTCTCACAAGTGACGATTCTCTTTGGGCCAGCTTCTGTGCCTCTCGGAGCGAATCGGGTGGACTTGGACCTTTAAACGGACAGAGAAAGACCCGGACCACAATGTGTGGTTTCCATCAAAAAAAAAAATAATAATAATTAGGTGTCATGATTTAGGTGAGATTTCATACTAATCGAACATTATTGTGCACATAAATGATTTAGAAGAGGCAAAGTGCACAACAAACGCAGACTCTGCATAACTAAAATGCATCAACGGCTCAGTAAACAAAAGATAAATGTGTATCAAAAGGTTGTTTCCAAGGAGTTTGCATATGTCAATGTAAGATCGAATTGATGATATTCCACAATTGAGTATGAAATTAGTTAATAAAATAATTATTTAATTTTATGATGATTTGGAGATTTTATTAATTCCATTCATAGTATGTGCGAGGTTCTAAATTTAAAGTTATTCAGATTGACTCTTATGTATTTGTTGTTTATGAACTGATCGACTTCATTACATGTTAACAAAAGAATATACTTAATATTAGAATAGTGTAATATCATGTAGTAAAGTTAGGATCTAGTGTAACATTCTTGAATTTAGTTTTGTGACTATCCTTTATTAATATTATTATAGGTAGGTTTTAGGATATATCATTTTAAAAATAGATTTTGTGTTTAATTATTTATTGTAATTATTGATATTTATAATTTGATAGTTTAATCATATAATTCGATGAATTTATGAAGGATGACAAGATGCATGCTTGCAAGTTAAGTTGTAATTATCATTTTAAGAATACAAAATTTTAAAAAATGCACATTGTATTTTGGGTAGTCATTTTTAAAAAAAAAAAATTAATTTTTAAAAGAGAAAATTTCAATTTTTGAGTAGTATTGAATCTGTTACAATAATGCAGTATCTGTTCATAACTACTTAATTTCTCAACCTACTGAAGTACAAAGTCAAAGAGTCAATATCGGCTCAAACTCACAACCTCTAGTAAACAATACTCCATATCTTTTTTACAAGTTCCATTGAGAAACAACAATATTATAGAGCACGTACACTCCACATTATTATGGATTTTGGGTATAGTCTTATAGGTTAAATCTGCTCCAGATAGTAATGAAATGAAATAAATAAAGAAATCATGCAGAACCTAACCTGTGATCATATCATCTCCTCTGGTGTGTGTCCCATGTATATATAACAATATAATAAGATGCCCTAGCCACTATCTTCAACAAGTAGTACAAAATATTATATGAACAGAACTTCAATCATCAATTACATAGATTCAACACACATACAGAGAGAGAGAACTGATACATAGTAAATACATACATATCGACACACATACAGAGAGAGAGAACTGATACATCATACGAAAAATAAAAATAGGTATTCAATAAGCAAGTAAAATATGAAATAAAACAAGTTCTGTATTAACCACCAATTTCTGCTCAGCCGCAATACTCAAAGCACAAAAGCTATATTAATACCAATACATATCAGGGAATCGATTTGCTTATACTCTAGTTTTCACAGTATAAGACAACATCTTCAAGTCCTTTTTGGCGGAAGAGTTAGTTCGCAACAACGATGAAATGTGGCTATTATTTCTCTTTCTTTCTCATTCTCAATCGTATTTATCACTTAGAGTTAATACCATCCGAGATCCTCCGAGTATAGTAGTTTTGCCACGTTTAGTCCTAAACTTTTAAATTGATCATTTGTGATCCTTCGACTTTCAAATTTAACCATTCGTGGTCCAAGTTAACCACTCATGGTCCTTCAACTATTAAATTTTAACTAACTATGGTCCTTTCAAGAGGACCACGACTGGTTAAATTTCGAAACTTGAAGGACTATGGTGGTTACTTTTGACTACGAATGGTTAAATTTGAAAGTTGAAGGACCACATATGATCAATTTGAAAGTTTAGGACTAAACGTGACAAAAACATTATACTCGGAGGACCTCAGATGGTATTAACTCTTATCACTTAGGACACAGAAATTAAGGTCGATTAGACTAATACTTTGAAACGATTTGCCATTATGTTTTGTTGGAAGACTGTGATTCACAGTCGAAAAGCTTGGGAAAGATGGAGAAAGAGCTCACATTCGACTTAAAGAAACCACTCTTCCTTGAAGGTGCACTATGATTTTCGCAGTTAAATAATGAAATAACATACTCATAATTAAATTGTACTATTACTCATTGACAAGTTGTGAGTTAGCGGTGTATGGAAAGTAGGGGTGGAGAATGAAAATTCTTCCGGATATCGTTCTCAAATGATGGACATTTGAAATTGAATATTGTGTAGTCAAACATAAGCATGCATTTGCAATAAAAGGTTAGGGAAGTTCATTCTATCAAGTGGAGTATGTGGTGAATTGGATTCCCTTGCATTGCAATGTAGAGACTTTGGTAAGGGATGAATTGATGATGAAACTATGTGATGAATTGAGGTGTGATGGACAATTTTAATATGTCCTCGAAAGTGCACGAGTCAGTTGTAGTGATAGTGTGCAATAGCAAGGGTCGTACCCGATGCAATTTAATAACTTGAAATTAATTAACTCAATAATTTAAAGTACCAGAAACAATTGCCAATGGTAAGAACGCAAAATAATTAAGTTTGAAGCTAAACAAATAAATAAGTGAATAAAAACTCAAAAAAGTAAACAAGTAATCTAATTAATCAGAATTGGACAAAAAAAAAAGTCTAGGGAATTGAACTCATTACCGCTATTAATTCTGCACCTCTAGTCTAATCCTACCGATCATTGAAATATCAACCCATAAAATAAAGCTTAGCAAATTAAAAGCAAATATGGTAAACAAAATCAAATAGAGCTGAGCAGATTAAAAACAATTATAACAATTCAAATAAAATAAAGTTTAGCATTTTTGGCACTTTACTTGGCTCCACGTTGCATCACTCATTCAATTAATTAACAATTTGGAAATTGAAAGCTTAAACAGAAGAATTGCTAGGAAAACAAGAGAAACGCAGCAGACCACTCACAATGTAATTCGCAATCTAAACACAAATCCAATGGTAATTAAAACTACAGCTACGCACAGAAGTCAAACATTACCACTAAATCAAAGCTACTACATCGAACGAATGGGTTTTAAAGTTGCCATGAAATTGCTGTGATGGACTCTTTTACGCTGGAATTAAACTGATGAAGAATTTGTTGAAACAAAGACAGTTGCGCTGATAGGAGCCGCCGAACGGAACGAAGCCACCGCCGAACAAATTAATTGCAGCAGCTGTGTAGGAGATTTGTGCTGCCGGAATTGGTATTCAGAATCCCGTCGTCACCAGAGAGAATGGAGCCGTCGGAACTCTCCGCTCACCGTCCCCGGAGTTGGTCCGGAGCCAATTGATTCATGAATGATGAACATTAGCTTCATTTTATATTGTTCCGGCCAAGCCACTTCTCCGCTTCTGCGCTGCTATGGAGCATTCTTCTGCTAGTCTATCGGATCGTAGCCATGACCGAGAACGAGTCTGCGATCACATTCTTATATTGATATATAAGAATAACAATAACAATAACAATATCAATAACAATAACAATAACAATAAGAAAATTCTCTCTCTCTATCCCTACGTATTAGGGTTCCGATATACATCCCTGAGTTCTAGGGTTTTCGGCTGCGATATATCGGCGAGCGTTTCTTCTGGTCTGGACGTCCAAGGGCTTATTGATGGCACGGCTCACATCACGCTACAAGACGAGGAGGTGGGGGTTCAGTTTGTGGAGGAGCCGGACGGTGGGGTGGAGCACGGCGTTGAATGTCGAACATGGGCTCTTGTTGGCCAGTTCTTGACCGACCGTAATTTGAAGGTGGAGATAATGAAGAGGGTTATGGCATCAGCATGGCGTCCATTAATGGGAATTGAAATAACGGATGTTCGGCCGGGGCTTTATCTATTTACTTTCTTTGATGAGGCCGATCGACGTCGGGTTTTGGAGGAGGGGCCCTGGGCTTTCGAGAATGCACTGTTTCTCTGTCAACCGCTAGAAGGGGACGATGATCCGGCATTGATAGAGTTGAGTACAGTCGACTTTTGGGTGCAGGTTTTTGGGCTCCCGACGGGTTATCGGACGGAGAATGTTTTAGAAAAGGTGGGGGATTATGTTGGTGTGTTCCTGTGTATTGATGAGCGGTGTTTTGCGAGGTCATGGACGGAGTTCTATAGGGTTCGGGTGCGGCTTGATGTTGCGAACCCCATAAAGCATCGCATGAAGATGATCATGCGTGATGGTACGTGGGCGTGGATTAATTTCAGGTCCCCATTGTCGCCGGAGCAGTATATTTACGGTCAGGGTTTGAAGGCGTGGGGAATGGGGGCGGCCAAGGTGCTGGGGGATAAATAGTTCCGGCTTGGTCAGGAGAGGAGAAGGGAGATTGGTTATGGTGGTGTTGCGGTGAGGAGGGGACAGCAGAGGGGGTACGGGAAGAGGGTGCCGTGGAGGGGGTGGATGGCAGTTTGATGGCGGGGCAGTCAAGGGAAGGGGTTTCGGGTTTGGGAGTTGCGCAGATTAATATGGCTGCTGTTGTGGTTGAGGGGGAGGAGAGGGGTTTGAGGGTGGATCCGAAGCGGAGGAGGGGACTGGGAGGTGACATCGTGAGCGAGGTGAGGGCTATGCAGATGGAAACGGAGTATGACAGTTTGGTGGGACCTGGGGACCAGGCCCACCGTTCTCAATGAGTACCCTATTTTGGAACTGCCGTGGCTTGGGCAATCCACGGACAGTTCAGGAGGTGGTGGACTTAGTGTCCAAGAAGAAGCCCGAGTTCGTGTTTTTGATGGAAACTATGGTAGATAGAAGTCATGCCGAGAGACTACGAGTGAAACTGGGTTTAGAGGGTTGCTTTGCGGTTGATAGTGACGGCCAGAGAGGTGGTTTGTGTTTTCTATGGGCCAAGAATAATGGTGCACGTTTGATTAAATATTCGACTAATCACATTGATCTTGAGATTTCTTTGCCTGATAAGCCGCTGTGGAGGTTGACGTGTTATTATGGATTTGCACAGAGGGATAGGAGGAGGGCTGCATGGGATTTTCTACGATCTCTCAAGGGGGTATCTGACCTTCCTTGGGTGGTTTTGGGAGATTTCAACGATTTATTGATGCAGGCGGATAAGAGAGGGAGGTTGCCACATCCTGTTGGTTTGATTGAGGGGTTTGCTGAAGCTTTGGATGACTGTGGTTTGATGACACTGCCTATGATTGGATACCCTTACACGTGGGAGCGTGGGAAAGAGACTGCTCGCTGGGTGGAGGAGCACTTGGATAGACTGGTGGCGAATATTGACTGGCTGCAGGGCAATGATAGGGCGAGGGTCTTTAATATTCAAACTGACTCGTCAGATCATACTGCGCTATTTCTGGATATAGGAGGGGTGGATCATGTGTTGAGGCCCCGGGGTTTCCGGTTTGAGAATGCATGGCTACTGGATGGTGGTTGCAGGGAGGTGGTGGAAAGGGAATGGTCTAATACTCCAGGTTTGGCGTTACAGGCCAGGCTTGGTGTGTGTGGCCGGGGTTTGAGGAGGTGGGGTGGTGATCGCCATCATAAGTATGGGAAACGGGTTGAAGGTATAAAGAAGGAGATAAATGGTTTACGAGGTAGTCATGATCCTGTTTCTTTGGCTCGGTTTAGGCAGCTTGATGAGCAGTTGACTGTGGTGCTAGCTCAGGAGGAGGCTTTCTGGAGGCAACGTGCTAAGCAGCACTGGCTTCAAGGAGCTGATAGGAATACGATGTTTTTTCACAAGTATGCCACATACCGGAAGAAGAAGAATGTGATCCAGAGACTGAAGGATGATGGTGGTGTTTGGAGAGAGCGCAATGCCTTGGACTCAGTGGTTACAGACTATTATAACTAAATTTTTACCTCGGGGAAGAGTCCAGGGAGTTTTAATGTGGATACCTTGCAGTCTCGTGTAACCAGAGAACAGAATGATGATTTGCTGCATCCCTTTTAGCCGGAAGAGGTGCGGAGTGCTTTATTCTCTATGGGCAAGGATAAATCTCCGGGACGGGATGGCATGAACCCGGGCTTCTATCAGGCCTTCTGGGATGTCATTGGTAAGGATGTTTCTGATTTTGTGCTTAATTGTTTATCTGAGAAGTCTTTTCCTGCAAATTTGAATGATGCTAATATAGTATTGATCCCAAAAAAATGCTCCCCTGTATCTGTGGCTGATTTAAGGCCAATAGCTTTGTGCAATGTGTTGTATAAGATAATGGCGAAAATGATTGCTAATCGTATGAAACCATTGCTTGAGGGTATGATTTCTGTTTCGCAAAGTGCTTTTTTACCAGGTAGGTTGATCTCAGATAATATACTTATTGCGTCTGAGGTTGGTCATTATTTGAGGAGGAAACAGTTGGGGCAGGTTGGGTGGGCGGCCTTAAAACTTGATATGGCGAAAGCATATGACAGGATGGAGTGGCCTTTTGTGTAGCAGATGTTGACTGGCTTGGGTTTTGATGAAAGATGGGTACAGCTGGTAATGTTGTGATGTGCAGTCAGTATGGTATAGGGTGCTGGTCAATGGGAAGCCTACTAAGGAAATAGTGCCCACGAGGGGGCTGAGACAAGGAGATCCATTGTCTCCTTATTTGTTTATAATTTGTGCTGAGGGCTTATCATTGTTGTTGCAGGACTCTCAGGCTAAAGGGCTTTTACATGGTTGTAGAGTGGCTAGGGGGGCACCATCTATCTCGCATCTGGTTTTTGCAGATGATAGCTTACTATTCTTTAAGGCTAATTTGCAGGAAGCTCTGGAGGTAAAGAGATGTCTGGGAATTTATGAGGCTTTCTCTGGGCAGGCGGTTAACTTTCAGAAATCAAGCATTACGTTTAGTCGTAATACACAGGTGGAGGTAAGGTACCTGGTTGCGAATTCCTTGGGGGTGGGACAAGCTGATGATTTTGGGAAATATCTTGGATTGCCTTCTGTTGTAGGCCGAAATAGGAGTGTAGTATTCGCATATGTTGAGCAGAAGTTGAGACAGAGGTTCGGTTCATGGAACAAGAGGCTGCTATTTAAAGCAGGGAAAGAGGTGCTTTTAAAGAGTGTAGCACAAGCAATGCCTGCCTACACAATGAGCATTTATTTACTCCCTATGACTTTGTGTAATGCTCTAGAAAGGTTGATGAACAGGTACTGGTGGGGTCAGAGTAGCTCACAGGGCAGTATTCACTGGATGTCCTGGGACCGAATGTGCGTGCCTAAGAAGTTTGGAGGTATGGGTTTTAAACGTTTACATGAGTTTAATATTGCACTGTTAGCCAAACAGGGATGGCGGCTCTTAACCAATCCGGAGTCCCTTGTAGCTCGTGTATTTAAAGCCAGGTATTATCCTACTTCTTCGTTTTATGAAGCCACAATTGTTGGAAACCCGAGTTATGCGTGGAGAAGTATTTTTGCAGGTCAAACATTACTAAAGTCCGGTTGCAGGCGGAGAATTGGTAATGGAAGGACCACTAGGGTTTTAAATCATCCGTGGCTACCTGATGCTATTGATCCCTATGTAGCCTCGACCCACCCAGGTCTGGGGCAGGAGCTTCTGGTTTCAGACTTGATTGATAATGCCACCAATGGGTGGAATAATGAACTGTTGGATGAGTTGTTTGCCCCACGAGATGTTTTGTTGATTAAGCAGCTCCCTGTTAGTTTGGAATGTGATGATGATTGGTTTTGGGACAGGGATCTGAGGGGTTGCTACTCGGTTAAAGATGGTTACAGAAGGTTGGGAGAGGTAAATGGCCCATGTTTGCCAGTATGGGGTAATTTGTGGAGTTTGCAGGTCCCCCCAAGATGGAGAATTTTTATGTGGAGAGCTTTGTCTGACATCCTGCCCACCCTTGATAATTTAATTAATAGAAGAGTTGAGTTGATTAATATTTGCCCAGCATGTGGCATGGAGGAGGAAACTATCATGCATGTTTTATGTTCTTATTCTTTTGCTTCACAAGTGTGGAATTTTTCTCAACTGCTTATCCCTTCTTTTGACGGCAGGAGTTTTAGGCAATGGACAGATCTATGGCTTGGCAACTCGCTCACTTATAGTTCAGAGGCTCAGGGGAGGATATGTGGTTTGTTATACGACATTTGGACTGCCAGGAATGAGGCGGTTTGGGATGGTTGTTTGCTAATGCCATGTGTGGTGGTCAGGAGGTTCACAACGAAGTGGATTTCATGGACTGCAGCTGATCAGCATCGAAGTACCACGCGTGTAGCGCATGTACCCCCGGGTCCGGCTTCAGTATTAGATGATGGTGTGATCTGTCGTGTAAATGCGGGCTTTCACGGTCCAAATCATGCACCGGCTTATGGTTTTATAGTGCAGGAGATGGATGGAACCTTTGTGGCGGCAGGGAATGGTCCTCTTATTTGCCCATATGACCCCCTCTTGGCGGAAGCAATGACTTTGTGTGAGGTTTTATCATGGCTAAGGGATAATGGCTACTCAAGGATTTCAGTGTGCTCCAATAGTCTAGTTTTAGTTTCTAGTCTTAAACATGCAAGTTCGTTTCGTACTTATTTTGGTTATGTTTTGCTAGCTTGCAATCGTTTGTTATCTTCTATGACTAGATCAACAGTTATTCATGTTCGTAGGGATGATTTACAGGCTGCCCATGTTATGGCTAAGCATGTAACTGCCTCTTTGGCACATTCTCTTTGGAGGGATATTCCTCCTTCTTTTCTTGAGCCTGGAATGGCTAATGCAATATAAGTTTGTTGGCTTTCAAAAAAAAAACAATAACAATAATAATAATAATAATAATAATAATAATAATAATAATAATAATAATAATAATAATAATAATAATAATAATAATAATAATAATCTTCCTATTAAATTGGGGTTAAGGAATTATTGTTCTGATAGAATTCAAATAATAGACAAATTTAATAAAAATAATTCTAAAATAGAATAATATTAACAAAACTAAATACATCAATAATAAATAAATAAATAAATAAATATATATATATATATATATATATATATATATATATATATATATATATATATATATATATATAAATCTATTATTGCAAATTAATTATAAAAAGATTATTTAAAATAACAATTAAAATAATGTTTATCAAGGTCTATGTGAGATGACTTTCAATGCCTTAGCTATTTCGGTCTCTAAGGCCTATCATAGAGCAATGTAGCACCTGAGTGTCAACATTCTCTATGAGACATTTCATCAAACATGTTGTCTACATCCCATTCCGGACCTTGTCTTCCCGGATCTAGGGCCGGAATTGCAAGGAGAAGGAGTATAGGATTATGCCTGAATCTCTTGTTAACATAATCCTTCCTAAACCTATTGCATGTGGTGCACTTCACACACAAGAGTCACGATAATTTCCACTTCCAACAAGACATCAACAGATAGCCAAATCTACCTAAATCAATCCATCAACTATCACAACGAAATATCCAATTCACAAGTTGATTCTAGCCAAGCATTGTCTAGATTGTAATGCAACACAATAAAGCAAAGGAATGTAGATGTAGGATGGAATTAAAGAGGGGGAAATGCAGGAAATTACCAAGCTAAATTGCAAATCACAAACAATCCAGCAAGAAGAGATCCAATTGATTCAATGAGAGTTGTCAATTCTTCCTTAACCCTAGGAGATCTTCCTATCTCAAGAGGAGAGAGTTTAGAGCTTAATCTAGAAGAGAGAACTAAATCTAATCTAAAATAATGCCTCCTAATTGCCTCAAAAAATCTGACCTAGCCTCTCCTAAATATCAGCCCATTTGGGCCTTAAAATAATTCGCGCCTGATAAGTGCCAAAGACGCCACCTTTTTATGGGTCATTAAGGGGTTGTATTATGCCTAATTAAAACTAATTGTGAATGATTTATGGTGTAAACGCTATAAGATATGCTAATGTGTTGCAAATGCCCATGATCTTGTGCACTTTAGTGTTTTGAAGGGTTTTTGAGCTAAAAGGAAGGCATATAGCGTGAACCGGAGCAAACCGAAGAAGAAGGCGATGGAAAAAAGCCCAAAACACCACCCACTAAGTGCCCCACGCGCGTGGGCCGTGCGTGAATCAGAACCAGAAAGTTCCAAGCGATGAATACACGCGCGTGGAGGAGAAAAGGCAAAAATTGGGCTACGTACGCAGGAGCGTACGCCCATGGGTATGCAGAACAGTTTCCTGCCTATCTAAATAGGCTAGGTGGGATTAGTTAGGGACTTCTGAACTTTTCATTTTCATCTTGTATTCTTATCATTTTTCAAAGCTTTTTAGGTTAGAATTTCTCTCTCTAAAAGAGAGATACACTCTCTAGTCACTTGTAGACCTTCAATTGTGCAAGGATTGACCTCACTTTGTGATTCAAGTTGGTAATCTCTTCATCTTTATCTTCAATTCCATAACCTACATTGCTAGCTTGATTTAATTGCTTTGTGATTTCAATTCCTAATGTTGAGTGACTAGATCTTCTAGGAATTGGATTAATTGACTTGTGTATTATGCATTCATGATTTGTATTGAATAATTGATTAGATGTGATGCAATGCTAGACCTAGAATCCTTATGTTGTGGATGAGTTTTGTAATGATTCACTCTTCATTTGTGGCCACAATGAGGAGAGGAGTTTAGGAGTGTGGAAGTAGCAAGAGATTGTGCTTCCATTAGTCCTACTCTTCCCAATCCCCGTCCTTCGATCCGAGAGGGCAAGGCCCGGGAGGAGAAAGTTGACCACCATTGCGTTTACTTTGATATCTAGTAGTGTATTGATAAGAATTCTAGGTTGCTCATTCATTTTTTTTCTCATTGTTGTTTTTTCTTGTTTTTGTACATATTTTGCTCGCTACTTCCTTTGAAAGTGGGTACCAATACTTTGTATATTATATTTGCTCACCTTGCAATTACTTCTAGTTGCAAGTACACTTGTTTGGTGAAGCTTTTGTGCAGGAAGTTTTGAATAACATATCAAATGAGCTCACCAATAAATAAGGATGCCTATCGTTATGGATGTCCACCCGGTGGAGAAGTATCAATGAACCATTCCCCACATAGCACTTGTGGACAACACCCCCATTACACCCCTTATGCATACCATTATCCACTACATTACCATCCACCACTTCCACTTTACTATCCACCATTTCCATTTCACTACTCACCATCACCACAATACCAATTGGAAAGAGTCCAAACTACAAACTCATATAAACCTCAACATATTTACCCACCCGAAAACCCACCTCAAATACCCACCTAATGGCATCATGATGAAAGAAAATCTTATGAGCCATACAACCACTCACATTGGAACAATCGACCCTATGATAACCCACCACACCTTAGTAATGAGCTTGAGTGCCTAGAGAGGAGATGACAAAAGATCATTCATGAAGAAAAGGAAGAAATGCTCAATCTCAAGGCCGAAGTCAAAAAGGAAGTGGGGGAAGAGTTAGCCACTTTGAAGAATGTCATGTTACAACCATTGAAACAGTTCGAGAAAACTCTTTGCCTCATGATGAAGAAGCTCACTACATGGGGCTGGAGGCCCAAGCTAGTGCTTTAAGGAGTATTGATACACTTCCGGAACCAAAGAGGGCCGAGGGTGATCCTTTGCTAGATGAAACCCCCGTGCTTGAAGAGATTCCACTTCATGAATTGGAAAATCAAAAAGGGGTGGATGAAGCTAGTGAGAGTAATGATGACATCGAGGTTGTGTGGGAAGATGAGAAACCAAAGGGTGACACTACATGTGGTAACATTCTTGACTCTACTTGTGTCATTACATTTAATGATATATGTACTAAATCGTGTTATGATCATACTTGTGCCCCTTGTGAGGTTGACTCCCTTCACTCTTCCAATGATTCATTTGTTGATATTTCTCTTGATGTGTGGGAGGAGGATTCCTTGGATACTTGTGAAATTGATTATATGGGTATGATTGGTGATTGTGATAATAGTTCTGTAAGTTCATGCTTATGAAGATGACTCCCTTGATTCTTGCAATAATGTGCTTAATGCTCTTGATAATGTGTTCTTGTCATTCTTGGGAGGATGATTCTATAGGTGGTTCTGATAATATCTCTTCTCATTTTTGTGATGAATTTTATGATTGTGATGATTTTGATTGGGGGATGAGGAGAGTGTTGAGTGTGTTGAGAAGGGTGATAGGAAAATTGGTGAAGTTGTCACTTTTGGCAACAATGTTGAGGGCGAGATGAGTGAAAATGATGTCGATGAGATGCAAAATGGTGGTGTTGAAGATCAAAGTGTGGAAAGGAGTAAGGGATAGAAAATGAAAATACCTTTGTGTTGTTTGTTGACATAAGTACTTGGAAGGAGAAAAATACTAAGGGTGGATTAGAAAGAAGAAGAGAAGAGAAAGGGCACAATATTTTAGAGGGAGAGAGCGTATTTTTTTTTATGTATTCCCTTGTATGATTTTGAATAAAATTGTGCACCTTATGTTTGTAAATGTGTTTGAGAATGCCTAGCATCTTGGGGTATATCTCAAAGCCAAAGTAGATAGGACGCATGGCAAGGTTCCCATTCTCGTGTGCTTCGACACATAAGACACGTTTCGTCTGGCCAAAGACGTAAAACGTGGCGCTTCTTGGGAGGCAACCCAAGCAAAATTTGAAAAATGAAAAAAAAATCATAAACTGAAAAAATGGAATATATATATATATATATATATATATATATATATATATATATATATATATATATATATATTTATGATCATATGAGAACACCTGCTTAGGTGAGAACGTGAGAACAAATCGTGTGCATTCATCAAATATTTTTTAATGGTCTAGATTAGATTAAGTGTGTGCAAACGCGCATTAAATGTGTGCAAACGCGATTAAGTATGTTTGCACACATTTAATGCGCGTTCGCACACACTTAATCTAATCTATACCATTAAAAAATATTAGATGTGTTCTCATATTCTCACCTAAGCACATGTTCCCACTGGAACTCTACCCTATATATATATATATATATATATATATATATATATATATATATATATATATATATATATATATACACACACACACACACACATATATATATATATACATACATATATATATATATATATATATATATATATATAGGGTCAGGTTCCTGTGAGGTCAGGTCTTCCCGTGCGGTCAGTGCGGCCTACACCATTAGGTATGCATAAATGCACCACACAGTGTTCGTAAATACACCATTATGTGTGTTGTATTTTTTTTGTGTGGTGTATTTTTTGGCATTTCATTCTCCTGTATTTTCGAACACTGTATGGTGCATTTATGCATACGTAATAGTGTATGCCGCACTGACCGCACGGGAAGACCTGACCTTACAGGAACCAAAATCTATATATATATATATATATATATATATATATATATATATATATATATATATATATTGTGTGTGTTTGAATTGTGTTTTTGGTAGTTTCTTGTGTTGTATTTGAGCTAACATTGTAGGAAAAAGTCACTTGGGAGCTTACAAAGTCCAAATGGGGAGTTCAACGAAGCGAAAATGGAAAAAATTGCTAAGTACAAGGTCGTGCGCGGGCCCATACGCGCATACACCCCACCACGCACGTGGGCCAAGACGCGTGGAAGTTTTTGTTTCCCACCCACGCGTGTGGGAGAATTTAGCAAGCACGTACGGGGTCGCGTGCATGCATTCGCCTGGGCGTACACCGCCCAGGAATCAGAATTAAAA